ATTTCTTTGTTGTTTGGTACTTTTTGCTGTCCAAAGCTGTTTGTGCCCACTCATAAATGAGAAATCATAAATGATCATAAGAGATGATCATAAATAATACCAACCAGAGCTGGGAGGAAACTCACTGTGGACAAGTTTTATCGACTCTAAAAAGAACAATGAGCTCAAATTAATTGAGCTGTTTTGATAGAAAAGTAGCTCATTAATCAATACTGATCATTTCTGTGTAACTTCCAGTCAAAAAGGGCTGAATCTCTCCAGGTAAGAACCTCTGGAGGCTGGAGACGTTACAGACTAATGCCCTTTAGGAACCCTGGGGGTAGTAAAGTTAGTGTCCACATTAAGGGGGATAGACGCAGAGTAAATGCCAGTCCCCCCGGTTCGGTTCAGGGGGGAGCCGTCTTTATTCCAGTGTTGACAGGGAGCCGCAGAGCGCCAACAGCTGAAAGTTATGCGCTGTGGTAGATTGGGCATCTGTTGGGTTCTTTTAGAAGAAAATAGACGTATTGTCTGATTTACCAGGAGGCATAAAGAACAACCTTTTTCACCGGAAGTGTTGCGTAACCAAGCACAAACAAATACTACTGATACCCCACTTCCTGGGAGATGCTTTTTTGTCTGTTCTTTATTTTGGTGACATGTTTTTCTGGTTGTAACAGGCAGAAAAGTCACATGAATAAATAAAAAGGTGTAAAACAATAGATTGTGAGCTTCTCTGCATATCTGATGAGCCCTGTGAGCTGAAGTGGTTCCTCCCGTTGTCTAGCTGCTCCTTGGTCGTATTGTGGCTCCGTCATTTGGTGATTGAGCAGAAATGTGGCGGTTGTGAGGAGCTGGGTCGGGGTCGGGGCAGGACCGGGGCTCTGTGTGAGTAAGTGAGAGCTCTGATCCATGAGGAATCACTTCATTCTCCAGCGGCACGGCCTGTGGTATGCCAGCACATTCCCCACTGCTGAGCTGGAGAATCCGCTCGGAAAGCAGGAGGAACTTTTCCTCACCACCTCCCCCACCCCTCACTCCACCCATTCACTGCTCTGCTTTTCTTAACTTTGTTCCCCTCAAGTAACCCCCACAAGACGGGCTCTCTAAACTGGGTTTTCCTAATGACTTCCCCGTCCTGCCTGGTCACGGACAAACCCTCAATCCATGAAGTCATGTTTTCACAACTACACAACGGTCCAGTCTGTGTCTTTAGAGGAGAGTCCCATACTGTCACAGAAGGTTTGACTTCTCTGTAGCTACCTGTGTGGAGCTGGCCTGCGTTTCCCCCCTCGGCCGGCCTGTTCTGAGCCCCCCCCCGCTGTGTTTGTTGTGGGTCGTCTGTCCTGCCTCTGCTCGCACCGCCGTCCTCCGGCTGGTAAAAGAACAGGCTGTGTCAGAGCTGGTGTTGACTCAACAGGAGCCACAGAAAGTTGCCAATAGTGGGACAAAGTGAGACGGTATCATGTTTGTTTTGCTAACGGTGGAGGGGGGGGGGTGAAGCTTTGACGCACACATGCAACCACACACATGTTCCATGCTTAAGATTAGTCCCCTAACTGTTCACTTTCTGGGTTATACACTTAACTAAAGCTGTATCACAACCCCAAGCAGAGCACGTCTGATCTAAGTCTTCCTCCTGGTTAGAAGTGATCCGTTACACACAGAAAACAGACGACACAGACTTGTCGTATGGCAGGTATGGGAGTTCTCCACATGTTTTTTTCATTCCCACTTGTGTGTGTTATTGTGTGTGTCATTGTGTGTGTGATGTGTCCCTTTCTTGACCACGTATACAGCCTTATCTGTTGTGCGAGCTGCCTTGTTGTGGCTTTGCTGGCCGTTGACTCTTCTATATTTAGATGGAGGGGAATCATGTGTCGCCCCAAGTGTCCATTGGGGTGTGTTTTTGTTTGCACATAACCAGTGCGTAACAAATGAGCTAAAACAATCTCATTGTTTCCAGCACCATCGCTTGTGTCTTGTGATCTGAGTGTGATGTGAAAGGACGGGCTGTGTCCAGCCCAGTCAGCCTTAACCCCCCCCCCCACCCTGAACATATGCCGTCACTGTAAAGATCCAGGTCAGTGTTCCTGCTGGGGATGGTTCCACTGGTGTAAATGTGATTTTCAGAAGTTTCTGTGGGTGGGAGTGAGTCACTCCAGTGTCTGGTCTGCTGAATGTGGAAGCCGGCCTCTTGTGTTGTGGGCTGTGTGGAATTTCTGATGACGGAGTTGTAAAAAAATGTGGATTCTGATTGAGGTTTCTAATACCCTGGCAGCGGTCGGAGCCTCGAAACATTTGAGTCAGCCCCGGTTCAAACGCTCAGCCACTCATTCACTTTTCATCCCTTCGCCTGCTTTCTGTTTCTGCCGTGCGCTCAGTGGGGGAAAGGTGGAAAGTCTGACAGGAGGCTGCCGGCGGAGGGCTCGGTTCTCAGGCTGAAAGCAGAAGCTTGTTTCGGTGCCACGGGTGGTGTCAGGGGGCAGTGCCAGGCCAGCGCGGCACGCAGAGTTCACCAGGAGACATCGTTCAGGCCGGGGAAACGCTGTGTCAGCCTCCAAACAAATGACTCTTTCTCCCCGATTGTCTCAGTCTAATTAACTTTCCAGTTTTTCTTTATTTAGTCTGATATGATTCATCCGCTCCCCGAATGCCCCCGCTGGTCCGTCTGTCCTGAAAGACCCCAAAACGAACCCAAACGCGTGGTTTGACTCATTTGATACCTCAGTGGCTTTTTCTGGTTTTGATTTTGGTTGTTGCATCTCTCAGGACTGTTACGGATCACTCAGACCTAACAAACCAGATCAAACAAGTTCCCCACCAGAGAATCGGGTCTGGTTCTGTATTCTTTCTGCCAGATGGGTTTCATTGAAGAAGACATTCAGCACAATTGCTATCAGACCCAGTCAGTTTTTGTTGTGAAGGCTGAGTCAGAAACAGAGGACATGTTTGTATTCTTGTGTGAAGATTAATCCCGTCTCAGTTTTTCCAGCCTGTCTTTTCTGTTCCTGCCACCGTAGTAACCTCAGCTTAAAACCTCCCCTGTGCTTCTGCCCTTTTTGGATTATCTTTGCACTTTTCTTTTAAAGCTGAACTTTGAAATGAGAGAAGAAGTGCTACTTTGTAGGAGAGCACCTCCACGCCCTCTTCATCTTAGATGGGATTTGGGTTGCCGTGTAACGAAGAATTAACAAAGATTCACTTATTTGAAGGTGAAAGTGGTACTTTTTCTGCAGGAGAGAGCAAACATTTACCCGGAGTTGGTTGGTTTTAAACCCCGAGAGCGTCCCTGGCCTGCCGGGTGGGTTTGGGTCCGTGTGTGTAATATGTGGCCTCGTGTTTCTGTCGGCCTTTGACCTTTGGCTCCTGCTGGGTGTGAACTGTGACTCCTCTGAGTGGGGAGAGGGTGCATGTCCTGTGAGGGGAACAGGTCCACCGTTGACTGCCTGACCTTTTGAATAGTCGGTCAGTAAAACCCAAAGAAGCTTTTTGACCTCCGGCTGTAAGATCTCATAACGTTTGCCAGACTTAAAAAAAATAAAAATAAAATCAGTCTGTTAAAGTAAGTAGAACTAAAGCAAACGAGCTTCGATCTTTGAATATCTTTTAATTCACGTGCAACTCGTATTCAACACATCCTGGTTCCTCTATCGTTTTACATTATCGTGGCTTCTCTTTTGCTCTTCTGGGGAGGGTAGCTCAGAGGTGCAGAGCAGGGAATCTTAGCTGTGGTAAACCACACAAAGTGAAAGTGGGAGCAGTGATTGTAGGCGTTTCTTCTCATTTGCGCAGCTTTAAATCACATTGTGCCTTCACGGTGACACAGCTGGGCAGTAATTCTGACTTCATGTGTTAATTTGAGCCATTGTAATCTTTCTTTACTAACATTTACGCAGGTGTTGGAAATTAAAATGATCCGTCAAGCAACAAGTATGTCGAAGCAAGCAGATTTATATTATTGTTTTATGCTTTTTTTTCCAGTTTTTGCCCTTAAATGCTTTGATTAGAAGAATGTGCACGATGTTATTCCAAATGAAAAATGGCCGATCTTCAAAGAAGCGACCCGCAAACCAGAACAAAATGTGAAAAAACACTTTTGGGTATTCTAAAAAAAAGAAGGGAGGGGAAAAAAAACACATTTTTGCTCGACGTGTTACACGCTGAAGTACTTTAATAAAAACTGTCGGTCTGATTTTGGCACCGCCCGCATAAACTTTCTCTGAATATTTCCCTCCCTAATCTCTGCTGCATTGTAATGTTTTCCAATCACTGGGCCTTAAATGAGTTTTAATCATGGAAGAATTTGTTCTCCTAAATAAAGGAAAGGTTGCCTCATTCAGAGGAATGAGGGATTGCGTCATACTTGGAGAGGAGCCGTGTGACTCCACACGCACCTCGCTCCCTCCTTTTTCTACCTTTAGTCCCTCTTTTTCCACCTCCTCTTTACCTCCATCCTGCCTTATCTCCATCCTCCTTGAACCTTGTCTTTCTTTTGGCTGTAATTAAATTAAAATAACCCCACTCAGGGGCAGAAAGAACGGCACATTACTGGACAGCACATGGTTACGAGAGGGCCCAGGGTTGTAGATGGGATTCTTGATTTCACCTCTTATGCAGAGTTAAGAAGCAAACTGTATTGTTCCATCCTAAATTCAGATTGTACATCTCATATGTAGGAAGTGAGGCCCGTCTAAGAGCCGTCTCTATTTGTGCGGCTGACTAAAGCTGTCGCCCTGACCTGCTGGTATCTATAGCTGTGGACCCCTGAAGGCCCAATGACTCGGACAACAATAGAGCTCTGCGACCTTCAGGTTGAGTTCAGAACTGAACAGCTTTCCTGAGCAGCTATCGGACCCGGATGATCTGTAGGAATCGCCTCCAAAGCCGTGCTCCGTTTTGCCTTCAGAGGAGCCTCAGCCGGGTCATAGAGGGCCCCAAACATTCACTGGCTACTCAGACACATCTGAATCGTGGAGCATGGAAAGTTGATTTCCTTTTGTTTTTGTGTTTCTCTGTAGTTTTTATCAGCCAGTGGCAAGGAGAGCCAAAGGAGCGCGTGATCTCGCTGGTCCTGACCCACCTTCCTCTGCTCAAACCCGGCAACACGGAGGCCAAAGGCGAGTACATGCGCCTGCTGCCCCGCATCCTGGCCCACACCATCGACCACGGCCACCACCTGGAGGAGTCCCGCCAGCTCCTGTCCTACGCCCTCATCCACCCCGCCACCTCCCTGGAGGACCGGGCCGCTCTGGCACAGTGGCTCAACCACCTGGAGGAGAGGGCGGCCGCCCGGGGAGACTCCCTGGAGCGGCCCCCGCCCTCCGGGCCCCACTACCACCACCACCACCACCAGACCACGCCCCCGTCCACCCTCACCTCCTCCGGATCCTCCTCCTCCACCAACACCTCGTCGTCGGGGAACCTCTACAGCCTGCACCACCACCAGCGCTACGGCTCGGACGACCGGCTCAACGGGCTGCAGAGCTCCCGGGACTCGGGAATCGGGGGGGGCTGGCATCAGCAGCAGGGCTGTGAGAACGGACACCTCCCTCTCTACCCGTCGTCCTCCGTGCCAGCAACCATCAACACCGTCGGAACCGGCGGGGGAAGCAACACTGGTAAGCCCGGCCTCTTCTGGTGTCTCACACTTAGAGCCTCCGTGGTGTTGGCAGCTTCTGTTTGTTCTGAAATGAGACAGTGGTGCTCCACTCTTTTTCCTCAGCTCTCTGACCACATAAGTTTTCTGTCAGAACACACGTTTTCCTGACTAAAAAATACAAGAAATCACTTCTGCCACTTCATTCATTTGGGATCTCAGGTGCTGTCCAGCAGGTATGGAGGAATGATCTAAAACCACTAAAACCCGAACAACTTCTGCTCTTGTGGATGGATTAGCTGGATTAACACTTTTCTTTAAATTTAGAGTAACTGATACGAGTCAAACACTTCATATTACACCACTGCTATCAAAATACTTTACATGACCATTATCCCGAATCATCACAGCGTACTCGAATAATAAAAATCTAGCCATTTCTGTTGTTTGTTTGTTTAAACTCGGTACCACAATTGACAACATTCACACAAAGTTCTGAAATTTAGAATGAAAAATTATCTAAATAAATTTTATTTTTAAACATTTCAGCCAAAGTAACTTTGTTAAAAAAAACCAAACAAATAGGGAAATGATCCAATAATTTATAATGTTAAAATTTAATCCATAAACAAACTTACGCATCAATTTTTCATGTAAAATAATTATCTAAAGGAAAACAAACCCACCTGACTGTCTTACCTTTTTCTCAGGTGAGTGGGTAAGTGGGTTACATGAAGGGGCTTTTCTTTCTCTTGAGCCTGGCTTGTGCTCTTCTAAAGTCAATGTGCTGAAAAATATTCAACTTTCTGAGAACTTCTCATTGATCCTGCAGCCACCCACTCACCTGGCAGGACCACCCCAGATTCCTTAAAGCTTCACTTCAACATCAGAATTGTTGGAGTTTTTTGTTATAATAAATCTTAATGATGAAGACAATATTTATAATACAGAGAATTTAAAAGCACTATAAAATTGAATGCATATTTACTTTCATACATTCAAAGATGGGCTCCATTATAAACCAATTAAAAACAATTATTAACTAATAAGCACACTGAATTCCTGCTGAGTTTAAGCAAACACAGAGCAAAGGGTCTGCTGGGTAAATACACCCTAATCAGACCAGGTGCCCCTGGTCTGACGGCCTCCACAGCAGCTAGGAAGCTCCGACTGTTGGGAGACAACACCGAGGGAGGGCTGTTGAAATTGAACATAACTATGGTTGGAGCAGGATATTTCCAGACATGAATGCATGGGCTCTGTGTTTTTTCTTTCTGGGAGATGAAAGAAACAGCTGAGGGTTTATAAATAAAGACACATTTAAAACCCTGCTCACTGCTCCAAGAAAGATCCTCTTGTATTTTTGACTGCTTTGCTGCTTCAGACCCACACAAAGACCTCAGGATTTCACAACTGCTGGACCAGGCACGCCAGCCACCAGCACAGGATTGGCTTCCACCGAAGCTGGTGGCCTTCTTACATCTGATAACCAGAGAAGAGTGAAAGTACCACGAGCTAACTGGAATCCCTGTTTGGGCATGAAAGACAACCGATTTTTCTTAAAATCACGTCTCTCCTTAAACTCACAAAGAAAATAATATTGCCAATATTTAGCAGACTAAATAGGAAACATTTTCCTTCTTTTCTCGTAGTCAGTCTGTCAGCAGGTCTTCACTGAGTTTTTCTGGTAATGGTGATGACTAGAGGAGTATAATTGTCCGAGCACATCAACCTGTGTGCTACTGATAGGACATCCCAAGGACCCCCGCCCATACTCTCAGCTTTAGTCCAAGCCACAGCAGCACATACCAACCATCCTTTCCCTTGTAAGGTAGCCTTTGTGGGAGACTGTATTTAGGGAAAATGGCTAATATTTAGGGACTGGAACTTGAAATGTTAGCTGGGCACCTATTTTAAACGGGCCCCATGAAGTCCTATACATAGCGCCAACAGTAAGAGAACCACATATAGGACTGGTAGGAGAGTGGCCGGAGTATTGGTGGCAGCTCATCCCGTCAGAGAGGCGACACAAAAAGCTCCTCTGGCTCTGCACCTTGTTATTTTTTCACCCCCCGGAGCATTCTGTGGGATGCTCCCACTGCCTTTATTAACCATCGGGTTTTATCATGCAAACAGATCTCTGGAAAACATCTGTTTCATGGACATCAAGGTTCAGATCTAAATGGGAAATCACTAGTTCACTTATTAGCTGCTCTTTTTTTATTGAGAAGAAAAGTGAGAAGTCAGACACTTAAAAGCAACCCTTTGTTATCTGTAGAAGTGAAAAAAAATCCTCCCCTCTATGAAGTGTAAAAAAGCTGCTTCTTTTCATGCTGTGGAAAAATGTGTGCCTACATCGTAAAATAAATGTCAGGAAATGCTCCACGCGGTAAACCAGACCTGCTCATCCTGTAACTCTGCAACAACCGGCCGGGAGAAACCCACATCCTGGTGTTCCAAGGAGGACTTAGGAAGGACTCAAGGAAACTGTCAGTCCACTAAATCTGGAGGATATATTGGCTTCTTCTTCAGAGATGGCTCTGTGATGGACTGACCTGTCCCCCCCTCCTCTCCCTCCAACATTATTTGGAATAAGCGGTATAGGAATGGATGGATGGTATTATTGGAGTGCACAGAGTGGTTAATCTCAAAGCTCCTTTAAAAAGAAATGGTTATGACGAGCACAAACTGGAGATGTTTGAGGATGACTGGACATTGGCTGTTAAGGGTTACCAACATGCAAATGCTTCATTCAGTAGGGAAGCCATGATGCTTTTGACAGATATGAAGGTTCCTGCTAAAATGTCTGATTGATGGTTAGTAGTGGGTCCAGCTGGGCGTGCCTAACTAGTGGTGTATTTTTGCAGTCCTGACTTGTGGAGGAGGCAGTCAGCAGCACAGTCCCCTAAAGCGCTCTGTGTCCCTCACGCCTCCCATGAATGGCCCCAGCAGCCAGGCCCTGGGCCACGTCTGGCTGTCCCAGGAGGACATCCGGACAGCCAGAGGTCCGGCTCCAGACCATGCTCCTCTCTCACCCCAGAGCAGCATCGCCTCGTCGGGCAGCGGCGGCAGCGAGCACCTGGAGGACGCAGGTTTTGGAGGCGGGTCAGGGCTGCACCGCAGTTCCTTCCATGAGGAGGGAAGTGGCATGAGGGGTGAGTAAGACAGACCGAGGGCTCAGCTAGTTTATGTGTTTCCTACATGCACGGTGTTTCTTAGACGTTTTTCTCCACAAGCATGAGGTTTCTATAGGACTCTGAGCAAAGATGAGGGTGAGCTTAATGGGGAATTGGAGTAAAACGGGTAACTTACTCACCTTTCAGACCTCGTTGACAGTAATCCCGCCCTAATCAAAGTTACTTAAATAGAAGAAAAAAAAAACAATAGCTACATTTATTTCTTTTGGATTTTGATTTCTTTACTAATATCTAAAGAAATGTGCACTAATCCACATCAAAAGAATGTTAAGTTGAGGTTTTACAGCAGAATCTCAGACCATTCGGTTTATGGCTGCTCAGGATATTAGAAAAAGCTGTCGTCCATTCAGATAAAGTTCTGCTTTGTGCTTGTTTTATAACTAACCATCATGCACTGGGGCACAAATTGAAACCATCCATCCATTGCCGTACGCTTATCTGAGGTTGAGTTTCAGAGGTTGAAGGTCCTGGAGGGAATCCCAGAACCCCCCACACTCCCCAGCAACACTCTCCAGCCCCTCCTGGAAGGATCCCCACGCATTTCCAGAACGGAAGAGATGCAGAAATCCCCCTGGATTGTTCTGGGTCCTGCTCCCAAGTGGTGACCAGTCGGATGTTTCAGTCCACCACAGCTCACTCCTCCGAGTTCCTCATCCTATCGGTTCAATTCAGTTCTATGTATAAATGCTAAATTACAAGACACGTTGTGTCTAGGTTCTTCAAAGCTGCAGTCCAGTTAAAAACCAGTTAGAATCCAGTTCGTCTTAATGAGTTCCAGTTCATTTGAATCCATAGTAGTCCAATATATGCAGGGAAAAATCCAAACAAACAAACAACAGATATCATCGGGTCTTCTCTTTGATCCAGTTCTCATCCCGAGCGTGTGCAAGACATCTGGGGGGGGAAAACTCCCTTCGACCAGGAGGAAACCTCCATCAGAACCAGAAGTTCATTTCACCTGCCGAGGTCAGCTCATTTCTCACCCCAGCGTGCCATCAGAAGATCCAGGTGCTGAGACGCTTAAAGCCTCCACCCGAGGCAGAGACCCGTTCCAGACCCGGGTGGAGCCCAACTCATTCCACCTCGGATTTGGAAGAGCAGGCTTTCATCCCGGCAGCTTCAGTCGACCTCAGACGGCTGCAGAGTGATCTGAAGGTCCCCGAGGGAGCACACGGTCTGCCAAAAGCCCAGATGTGGACCTGAGGTCCCCAAGCCAGAGTCTAATGTTTCCTAATAAAAAGCAGCCTGACAGAAGTCATTCATGGTGTGCAGATTAAGAAGCAAATAATCAAATAAAAGCCAAGTGTTCTTTCCCCCCCGAGAAACAAAACCCTGACATTTGTAAACTTTTCCAGCTAGCATTGCGTGCGCTTCCTCTCTTTGGTCATCAGAGATGATAAAAACTAACTTAAATCCAGATGAAGATCACATTTTCTAGCTAACGAGTTTTCTTTCCCGACTGAGTTCACTCTTTGGCTATCTCTTTTATGATATTGCTATCTTACTCTTTTGTAAGATTATTTAGATGTTTGCTATCCCCTTCACAGAAACACTATTCTGATATTCTTTGAGTCTCAGAAAAGACTCATCATTCATGTCATTTCAATCTTTTGTTTTCAGGATTTGATTGTCTGACAAGGATGATTGTTGTTTTTATGTGTTCATGTTGTCATTTTTTGTTATTAACATTCTTTAGCTATCGGGAGAATATACAGAAAAAGAAAGAGACATGAGGTTCCTGGTGTTTTTGGTTTGTTTTTTTTGCCCGCTCATCCGATTCAAACTGTCTTTTCCGAACTGGAGCTCCATCTTTAATAAACTTTGTACCAGTTTCATTTGTAAATGGATTAAAAAAAAAAAAAGATATTGGAGCAACACGCTAGCACTTTAGTTTACTTTGCTAACTGTAAACGGAAACATTAAACACTTTAGAAGCAATTGATGAGCTCATCCTGCTGCTGACATGTCTGTGATATAGATTTATTTCTGACGGCACTGATTATTGGTGGTTGTGCGTCATGTGATGGAAGGCTGTAAGCTGATCACCGCCCTCTGCTTGTTTTCTCCTGTCAGATGTTCCCGCATGGCTGAAGAGTCTTCGCCTCCATAAGTACGCTGCTCTCTTCTCCACAATGACCTACGATGAGATGATGTCGCTCACTGAAGAGCAGCTGGAGGCCCAGGTTCGAAAACCCCGGTTTGACTAAATTTGTCTGTGGAAAAGAAAAACATGAAATTCGGCTCCAGATTAATGCGTTTACTTTGTGTGTTCATTTTGCCCACAAAAGGCTGCAGACTGTCGGCTTTTTGGAAAGTATTTCATAATCATTTGACTGTTCAGGGCCACCTCCTGCACAGTTAGCTTAATCATTAGCCATTGTGGTTTTCAGTTTTTCCCTCCTCTCTGGCTGGGGCCCGGCATTCTCTGGACACCGTTCATCCATTGACTGTAGCCACTACTGTGTTCTAAAAATAAGTTTCTGTTGCTGATTATTTTTTTGCCAAAGAGGAGAAGGCAATGAGGCTCTTTTTTAGGAGACATCTCAGAACTAATCGGGCGTAGACCACAAAAACACAACGTATTCTGTGCCTGGCAACACAACTCACAAGCCACACAATCAGCTGAACCTGGTTACTGTGTCAGCGCAGTTAAAGCTGAACGGCGACTCAGAGGCAGAAAAATCTGCAGAGTCTTTTCCTGCCTCTTTTAGCAGGTCAGTTTCAGGAGGCAACGCCTCTCTCTGCGTCCTAAATTCCTTTTTGTAGTGAAAGATGGCTAGAAATACCCACTGTTGGTAGTAAACCGAAGGACATATAAAAACTACAATAATGATAAAATGACGAGATAATGTGATCATTTCAAACCTTTTTTATTGCATTTAGAAAGGTTGAGTTTGTTGTTTGTCAGTCTTGAGCCCTGACACAAGAAATAAATCAGCATTAACTAAAAGTAGAGATGCTGAGTAATGATATTCCTTTGTTGAAAATAGTTTTGTGACCCTGTTGCTAGCTTTAGATTCGTCATGTGAATATTTGGTGTTGTAAAAAAACAGCAAGGGGACAAAGCTCTTGCTTTCCGTGTGCATTAAGACATTGAGGAAAGGAGGGAAGCAGCTAATTTTAACTTGGCTACAGCTGACCAGGAAGCTGTACATTTCCTCCAGGTGCTGCCGATTCCTTCTGTCAGACTCTGTGATGACACCCCCCCGAAGCTTGCCCTGTGTGGTCATGGATTCATTGTGCTTATGTTGGCTAGATATGCAAAAATCCATCTTTTCTTAATTAGTATTACAAAAAAAGAAGCTAAATGGCCGTTTGACCTGGGGTTTATTTCAGCTTTTTCTGTTGTCTTTGTCCCCTAGCTTCTCTTACTTGAACTTTGATTTTACTTTCCCCAAAATCTTTTGGGATAAACATTTGACTCTGATTTGCTTCTTCCTACAGAAGGTCACTAAAGGAGCACGGCACAAGATCGTCATCAGCATTCAGAAGCTCAAAGAGAGGCAGAATCTCCTGCGCTGCCTGGAAAAGGTGAGAGCAGCTCTTTACCTCAAAAAGCTGCAGGGCCCGGAGGTGCCCACCCCTCCCCAGGGCCATCCGGTGGTCAAGCATGTAGCCTAAGTGGACAAAAGTGGCCCCCGGCTCTTTTTTTGCCCTGAGGGAGAGAAGAAGTGTAAAGGGTGGCCGTTCCCAGTTGGTGTTATGTGTCTCAGCTGGCCGGTAACGGAACACCTAAGCCAGGAAGGACCGTTTTGGGCTCCGAATTTAAACTCAACCCCCCCCTTCTCCTCACTCTTCCATTCAGGCTTCGAAGCAAGACAATGACACTCAAGGGCACAGCACAGGGGGGGCTTCTTTCTCTGGCCAGCTAAATTCAGTCATAGCCTTTTCACCAACACTTGATTTTAAAGCTTGTTACTGCTGCATTTGTGGGGGAAACGGGCCACCGGCTGCCTGGTATTTTGGAGAGTCCTTACACAGATAGGGGGTGTTAGGGGCAGAGGGAGGCTGACATCCTGCAGTTGGACACGTGTCACGTTTTTTTGTCATTATTAATTTGCCTCGATTGTCTTATGGAGGTAATCGGACAACCCCCTTCTCTTAAACTTCTCTGTTTCTCATCATTTTTATTTGACTAAAGATTGCACAGAGAAGCGGTTCTCCCTCTAAATAGACTGTAAAACGCTCACTCTGCCTCCCTGACGTCATTTACTCTGCCAGGATGTGTTGGAGGGCAGCAATCTCCGCAGCCCGCTCCAGGAGCTGCACCAGATGATCATGACTCCCATCAAGGCCTTCGGCGGGGGCGAGGAGTCCTCCCTGCAGCGCCCCCTGCTGAGCCCCGACAGCAAGAGCGCGGCCCCCGGCTCCCACCTGGGCGGGGGGGAGGCAGAGTCCGGGGCCAGCGTCATCGCTGAGGGGGACCTGCCCGGCCAGTTCACCCGCGTCATGGGGAAAGGTGAGTGGCGTGCGGCGGCCCTCTGCCGAGGCGTCTCCACGGAGCCAGAGCGCTCACTCTGCTTTGCTCTGCCCCCAGTGTGCACCCAGCTGCTGGTGTCCCGCTCAGACGAGGACAGCATCAGCTCCTACCTGCAGCTCATCGACAAATGCCTCATCCACGAGGTAGCCGCTCCGCTCCTATCCATTACAACCATTTTAAAGCACCTTTTCTTGTCAGAATATTCTTAAATTGAACAGATTAGGACAAGAGCATTTCATTTTCTTTCTTTTTATGCTTTAATTTATGAGTGAGAAAACAAACCAAACAAAGGCCGGTTAAACTTTGACAATATTTTGCTAAATCCATTCATGCATCTCAATTTATCTCCCTTAAATACATTGATGTAACAATTCATCTGCTGCTTAAATATAATAAAGTTTGAGAATGAAATGTCATGGATGATGCTTTGCTAAAAGAGGAACGCTCCCTTTCTGTTTCTGTCCCTTTCTCTAATTGTACGTTGTGGTTTAAATTGTTGGCATCGTGCTTAAAATTTAGTCTAAGTGGAACTTTTAGGGTGCTTTCCTCTGTCCCTGATTTTGACTTCCTGTTCTACCCTCCCCCCCCGTCTTGTCAGTCATTCACCGAGACGCAGAAGAAGAGGCTGTTGTCATGGAAACAGCAGGTCCAGAGGTTGTTCCGGTCCCTTCCAAGGAAAACCCTGCTCGACATAGCGGGATACCGACAGCAGAGGAGGTACACTTAGACATCCAGTAGTTTTGTCTTTTTGTTTTAATTAAGAGATGATTGTTTGATTTTTTTTCTGCAATTAATACTTTAATTAAATGTTTGATATGCAATTCAATAAGGTTGTTTATTATCGTATCTGCTGTCTAAGTTAGATAAGTGATATTTTTATCTCACCAAACACAGGATAAAAGTTACAATGAGGATTGTTTAAGAAGAAAAGTGTTGTTTTTTTAGCTGAATATTGTGTAATTTTGTCATTTTTATGGAGAATTGGTTAAACTTGAGTCTTTTTTGCCTTGCTTTTCACCTTAACATTTGAATGCACGTGTATTTCTTCTTCATTACACATCATTTTCTAGTCTTTCATCTGTTTTTTCTTTTTCCTTGGTGTCTCTCCCTGCCCCAGCCGTTTCGGTCAGTCCAACTCTCTCCCCACCACTGGCTGTGTCGGAGGCAGCATGTCGGCCCGGAGGAGCCACCACCAGTTCCAGATGCCCTCCAGGAGCCTGCCGGGCGCCAGGCTCGGCCTGCTGGGCAGCGGGGGGCTGCTGGGACCAACACCTCGCAGCTCCAGCGGCACCCCCACAGGCCCCAAGCAGGGGAGACATGTAAGCCCAGCACCAGAGTTTACCAACCAGGTGTTTACGGTTTCCCATGATTCCCATTTGAGGAGATCTTTGTTTCGGTGCTTCTTTGGCCGCAAACAAGTTTGTTCATATTTCATCTGCTCCTAGTGGAACATTTAGGAATGAGCAATAAGACTCTCCGGGTTGTGTAGAATAACCCGGGTGGCAGAATTCCTCCTTCAGCGTGTATTCTGCCTAAAATAGGCTTTTTATTTCATGACAAAGAAATGCAGGCTGAGGAAGAGGAGCGGTAGTGGTGTGCGGCAGATGAAGTGAGGTGAATGGAACTCGTAGGCAGGTCACCCCACATACCAGAGCCTCTGCGTCAGCGCCGAACTCTGAAACAGGAGGAGCCGTGGAGCTGTTTCAGGCCGGTCCTGGCACACTTCGGTCTGGGCTGACCCACCTCAATGGAAACCTTTCTTCCCCCCCCCTCCCTCTTCTTCTTCTTCTCCTCTACAATGGGAGGAAATACCTCAGTTCCTCTTCAACGCGCTGGAGCTTCATGTGGAGGGCCGTGGAGTGGATGTGTAAGGAGAAAAGGAGAGGGCAGGGAGGGAAATTAGTGAGTCATAATTTGGGAGACGTAGCTGTGGTGTTGGAGGAGGAGGGGCAACAACAGAGAGAAGGTGGTTGTGTGAGTGTATATATACGAGGGAGAGAAAGGGAGCCAGTCAGAGGCAGTGAGAACAGTGCACAGGCATTTCCTGTTTTTCCCTGGCCTGCGGCGCTGGAGGGCCGCTAGGGGGGAGAGGGGTAAGAGATAGAGGTGAGGGGAGGGCCATGCGGCGGTGGTGGTGTTGTTGGGGGTTTAATGGGCAGGTTAAAGTGAGGAATTCATGTGGTGAGCGTCTCAGACTGTCATTAGGTGTGGGCCAGACGGAGAAAGCTCTGAGGGGGATAAAAACCGTCAGAGAAAGCCCCCCCCGTCTGCTCGCTTTGGGCCCGCGCCTTTTCCAGCGCTGCAAGTTTCGGCAAAAGCGGGATCACGGAGAATGAGCAACAGAATGAGCAACACAGAAAAAAGTGACGGATCTTCTGGGTTGGATTCTCAGAAGACGGCCGTAGGGCACAAACCGGGTGTCAAACAAAGCTGGGACCAGCCTGGTCCGATATCGCCATCAGCCCCAGAGATGAGCTCATTCACAGGGAGGATGGCGGGCTAATGCCACCAGTCTGTGGCCTGATTCAACACAGTCAGAGGCTGTCGGTGGCCGTAGAAGACCGGCGTGACAATAAAAACGTGGCAGAATAGGTCATTCATTTATTTTCTTCTATAAGGGACAGAGCAGGGCTGCACAGCTGAAGTAACACTTGGAGCATTGAGTTTAGATTAATGTTATCCTGATCCATCTTGATTGGTTATGTTGAGAAATGCACAGATGACTGAAAAACTGACTTTTGTATTTCTGAACTAAGCTTTTAAAAAATAGGAAGCGCCGATAGAAGTGTGGAGTGTTTAATTCTACAGACCTCTCTGTTCAAAGGCAGACAACAGCCACAACTCTGTTTTTGGCTTCTAGTTCAGACTCTCCGTTCCACATCCCTAATCACACCTCACTGTAAAGTCATGTGACCATAAGCACTTCAGTCCGTCCTCTGACAAAATTCTCACATGTGCACATGTGATTTCAGAAAGAATTTACATGGAAATCGATTGCTGAGAGTTCCAAACGGCTGGAGGTCTCTGTCTCTTGCACCCGTTCACATCTCAAAAAGTTTTCATCCTGAGGAGTAGGCTGTGGCACAGAAACGGACAAGACCCATTTTCATCTGGTTAGAGCTAAGAGTATTAAAAGGTGCCATAGAATGAGGTGAAATGAAAATTTAAAAAAGGATTTTTTCCATTTCATTAGAGCAGGCTGTTCACACCATGCTCCTTTTTAACAGTGTGCATCTTTTTTAACGGTTACTGTTCTTTTCAAGGTAATCTAAGTTGCGAATGAATGTCTTTTTGTTTGCTTTTTCCCTCTGTCTCTCTCAGGGTCCGTGGTTTGCCAACCCTGGAGGAAGCAACAGCATGCCCAGCCGGACCCACAGCTCCGTGCAGAGGACCCGCTCCCTACCGGTTCACACCACACCACAAACCATGGTCATGTTCCAACAAGCAGGTACGACACACATGGGGGAAAATCATGGAAACCTGGTACGCTGCCACGGACGTACTTCATGCATTAACCCTTTATCTACTGAAGCTTAAAATGGCAACTTAGAAATATTTTACTTGCAAATGTTGCGAACAACATAGGCTAAAAACAAGGCGCCCTATTCGAATGCCTCCATTCAAAAGAAGCATCCTCCAGTCTGAACTGTAGCTTCTGTAGCTTCCCAGATTCCCAGCACATGTCTCAGATTGAGCCAACAGAGTTGGGATACTAATACTTTGAACATGTAAACATAGTGGGTTACCGTGGCTGTTTAATCCTTAGTTTAACACACTGAGGCGAGTTAGAGGCACTGAAATCCAGTATAGATTCGGTTTGATTAGAGTTCTGAGGTAGAAATGAACCTTTAAAGACTTAGTGAGGCGCCATCTTGTTTGTGGTGTTGTTTTGACTACTTTGAGGGGCAGCAAGAAGAAGTAAAAAAAATAAAATTAGTTATTTCAACACATCGTCACATCCAGTGTAGCTGGTATATTCCCAGTGACGGATCAGAAGGTAAAATTGGTTTATCGCAGGTGTGTGAATGATCAGTAACAAGCTTTACTGGCAGAAGTAGAGGGCCCCTGAAGGCTCTGCTGGAGGGGAGAGGCAGAGCCAAGGTTATGTTGAACAAGGAAGCTTAGTCAGATTCAGCTGAGTTTCAGGTAAATGACGATGTTGCACTTCTCAGAATTTACCCAGGGAATTTTCTTTGTTCATTATCAACTGGGAGAACCAGCCAGCAGGTCGGATCTTAGACACAGGCGGTTGGGTAAATTGTTTTAAACGGTTCTGAGGCCTGATGCAGTGGGGTCACAGTGGCCAGCAGAATGACCCACAGTAGCCTCCGGCTGGCCTCGTCCCACAGGAACTGTGGACAGTTAAGGGACAAAGTCCACTTCCTCGGCTCAGCCAGAAATGTTCTCCTTTTAGAACGAAGAGGAAAAACAGACTTTTAAATAAAGCAGCCGAGAGGAGGGAAGTAAAGCTGGAGGGAGGATAGAGACTATGTGAGAGAGGAAGAGATGGAGGCAGGGAGGGAGGAAAGCGTGAGGAGTCTCACAATGAGGCTCTTTGTGCAGTGAGGACGGGGCTCTCTGGCCCGCTTTCCTTCCCTTCCCTCTCTCCCTGACTCACTTTCTTTCTTTGCTTTCCCATCCCTCCTATTTTTTTTCTTTCTCCCATTCCTTCATTTCTGCCATCCCCTCCCCCATGTCCCTTTTTTTTTTTTTTTTTAAAACTCTGCAGAGTCATGCACACATAACAGTCTCCCTTAAGGGTGGCTGTTGCTGGGATTTGGCTAGAGAGGCACATTGGAAAGGCCAGACACCCCTCCTGCCCCCCCACACCCCCAGTACATATGTGTAATCTCCCCTTCCCTCCGCCAGCACATGGATAAAGAGCTTGTTATCCCATACACATTAAAGAAAACGAGAAGATGAAGAAGCAGCCATGTTTATCTCCTGGAGCATGTTTGTGTTGCTCAGGGTGTGTGAAGAGGGGGTGGGGGGCAGTGGGAGGGAGTGGAGGGTGGGATTTGGAGCCTATAAATAGCCCGGTGTGCACTAGTGGACACACTAGTGTCAGCTTGTGTCTCCGGCTGGGCAGTGAAAATACCTTGTGGCCAGTGTTAAAGGCCCAGCTAGGGACTAAATGGTTCACAGGGGTTGCTAGGCTGCGCCACGGCTCAAATACACAACCCACTTTCACCACTCAGCACACACATACTCCTCCCACCAGTCCCAAAGCAGCCCTCCACTAAACAGCCTCCACCCGGCTCACAGTTTAGGCCAAGAGCGTCAAGGGCAACTGGCACCTCCGAGTTAAATAAGGAGCCACAAAGCTCATTACATTAGTGATGTGTGTCCATTTGTGTGTTGAAACTCGTCTATAATAGAGCTTATTTACTTTAAAACAACACTTGATAATTAGATGTGAAAACTCCTGCTGAGGGTGGATTAATTAACCAGTTAGATCCATTAACCGCGACATGTTGAGATGGAAAAAGAGTAGCTCATGCTTATTACACAAATAGACGGAAAGGAAACAAAAAAAAATGGCTAATTAATGCCTAATTGAGTAATTGGAAAGAAGCTGTAATTTATACTTGAAAGTGACTAAAATTAAGGATTTTTTTCCCCCCCAAGTTGGCCTCCACTTAGTGTCCCATTGACTTCCCTTTATCTCCAATTAGTCTTAACAGTATGTGTTCATCTTTTATTCCTTCACTTTTTCATTGGAAAACCCAGTTTTATTTGCAGTTGTGTTGAATAAATAGCCGGGAGTTGTTGGGTTGTTAAGCTTTTGGATCAGTCGTGTAAATTGATAAAAAGTTACTGCTCATTCGTTAGATCTGACCTAATAACTGTTTTATTACAGATAATCTGTCATTTCCTTTCTTTTTGTGCTAAGATTGTGTGCATCTGGTGTAATTCTTTTTTCACCTTCATTTTACCACACAAACAGTACAGAAAACACAATGCGGAGACTAAAACCACACTAGATTAATAATTTATCACTTATTTATTATTAACGTATATTATTGGACATATTTTTGCTCCCAAAAAGTTCCTCCTTTCCCTTTTGAACAGTGAGTGATAATCTGATTATTTAGGTAACTGATTTTTAGGTTATTTTGCTTAATGTTGATTTAAAAACGAGTGTTAAAAACCTGCCTAAGCTTTTCACTCGCTTCAAATCCAAGGTGAACTCTTCTGAACTTTTTTGTGTTGCTCCATCCGTAATTTCTGCTGTGTAGAGTTTTTTTCAATTGCTGAATTTGTTTTTCTTCTCCTTGTCTTTACAGACCTTCAATTACCAGCGACGGAGCCGGATATAAACAATCGCCTTGAGTCTCTGTGTCTGAGCATGACAGAACACGCATTGGGAGGTGCGTTTTTAAACAAAAATACAGGAGAAAAACACAAATTTTGATCGCAGCATGTTATTGGCAAAAACAGATTATTTAAAGCCACATCTTCTTTTCAAAGAAGACAGTTATAAATATGTTGGAAATGGTCCTGTTTAGACAACCAGCTGGATTAAGTCAGTTGGACGTAAACGGTGTTATTGCTCTGACACGAAAAAAAGCTTTTCTTCCGTTGTCGTGAGTTCAGCAAATCGGAGGGATTTCTGCCTCCAGACGAATCAGCAGAAAAGAGTCTGACGCTCGGCTTTAAGAGCCTGAAAACACAAGCTCTGCAGCCATGCGAAGTATCCAGTGTCCAGAAGCTCTCAAAGGATCTTAGCTCCAGACTATGAAACCCACAGGGGGTTTTCAGACATTTGGTTCAGGGATTTTCTGGCCAATAAGATCTAAATAGATCTAATAAGATCAATTTAAGTACCAGTCAGTGGGAACTGTAGATTTATGAGCTATTTATAAGCTGTTTTCTGGTGTTTTGGGAGGTTTCAGGTGATGATGATAGGAGACTGTCAAGGGCATAACATTTAATTTTTAATATGGATTTATGTGAGCCAGAAGCCGTTTTTCATTTGCAGCATCTTACAATACATTAACATAAACAGTATTTCATCACCAGGACAAAAACCGGCTGAGTTTAACACAATCAGTCAGAGGTTTCCATCTCCCGGTCGCTCAAACCCAAACGCCTCAGAGCCATGGACGCTAAATACAATGAAATCTATTGCTTCTTTTCTTTTTCTTTTTTTTAAGAAAATGACCCAAAAAAGCGTCATGTGAAGGGAAAAGGATGTTAACATTTGGCTGGCAGGTGGTTGTTTTTTATCTAGAAACGGCTTCTGGCCTGATGTCGGCTTCTGTGTTTGTGAATGAGAATTCCTAAAGAAAACACATGGGGAGATGGTGAAATGAATTCATATTGAAATGAACAGTTCTTTGTTTTTGTTTTTGCAGATCAAAGCTCCTGATTAATTCCAGTACAAATTTAAAACCTCCAGCTTTTAAAAAAAAAACATTTGAATGAATAAAAACACCACGTTTAAGTTTAGAGCTTTATTGAATGAAATCAGCAAAGAGCCTGACTAAACACTTTTTGACTAAACACTTTTTTGGGTTGTTTTCTTGTCTGGCTTTTGGATGTGCGACACCTTCTCTGCTTTATTTTCCACAACGACGTGGCTCAGTAACATTTTCCTGCGCGGCCGAACCTGAGGCAACAGCTGTCAGACGGTTGTTTCCCCCCCCTCCCGAACGCCGCTATCAGTATTTTGACAGATGTGTTGTTGTTGCCACGGCAGTGGGAGCCCCGGCCCCCCGCCGTGCGCCCGATCAGGCCACCTACAGGAGCAGTGCAGAGGGACCAATCAGAGCTGTCAAATAGGGCGAAAACACCTAAAAACAAATCAGCCTGGCTCTTATGAAATCCTTCCCTAATAAACCTCGTTATTGGGTTCTATCAGAGTTCTCCAAAGAGAGAACACGGGCTGCGTGGCCACCTGTTTACAGCTGGTTGTTTCCACAGTCTGACTGTGTCTTCTTTCCGTTACAGACGGTGCTGACCGCACATCTACGATATGAAACTGGGACCTGGGTGAGAGCAGCAGACGCCGCGGGTACGAGGCCCTCTCAAGTTAAGCCAGCCGAAGGTCACCAGTCCTCCCGCCCCCCCGCCAGTAGCCGTGGGTAGAGCTCAACCCAAAGGGCCCGCCCGCACCCACCAAACCCCAGCGGGCCGCTCACCGAACGGCTAACACAAGCTAACACGCTGGCACCCTCCGTCTGGAGGGGAAAACACGAGCCCCCCGCGTCCCCGAGGGGGGAGAAGGCAGCGGCCGGACAGAGGAAGAGCAGCGCCCCCGTGGGGCCACCAGAGGCACTACTGCTCTCCTGTCAGCCCCGGTGGAAAGGAGAAGCCGGCCCGTGGATCCGGACCCAGAGGCCGAGGCCCCTTCCACCCGGACCCAGTCGTCTCTATTCGCCCACAGCTCACGGCACGTTTCACACCGATAACTTTACCTCAGAACCCCCCCCCCCCCCCCCCCCACAGGAGCCACGAGGATTCAGAGGGACATTTGGGATTCGCTGGACTGATTTCAGTGCAGAGGGAGTTTGTTGAGCTCAGTATTAGGTGGCAAAGATATCATCTGTTATTGTTTTGTTTTCAATGTTTACATAATGATGCTACTTTCAGAGGGTACAGACACATGTTGAATGCAGGTATGTCTGGTGGGATTTTCTGTAAAGCCTCGACCGTCTGCAAGTTTGACGTCCCACGAGTAGCCGTCATGCTAGTTTACAGCTAATGTGCTTGGTCTTTATTTCTATCAGCCCACAGGAAGAGATGAGTGGCTCGAACGTTTACACGGGCAGAGGGAGAGGTGGAGGTTGAGCAGATGTGTGCAGGAGAACGAGAAGAGGAAGGTGATGTGGAGAAAGACTCAGGAAGTAGGAGAGGAAGGAACCCAGACGCAGTGATACTGAGAAGGGAAGCGGATGTTATAAGGAGAGACATCAGAGGCAGGACCTTTGAAGATGACCGAGGAAGATGATGTCATGTCTGATCCAGTTGTGAGTCTGTTCGAATGAGGGAGTCTAGGAGTTTGGCACCAATCAGTCACCTATCTGTCACCATTATTTGTACTGTATCAACAGGCATTAACGTTTTTAAAAGCCTAAATGGGAGATCAGTAGACCAATGGGGATCTGGTTTAGTGACTTTGAGCTGTATGGAAAAGCTAAATATCTTTATTAGACGAGAGGAAGTAAAAGGCGGAGAAAATGATGCGGAGATTTGGTTTCCACTCAGACGGCTAAAATATTAGAGCAAATGCCCACTGTCAGTCCATGAAGGGTAGTTTTCCCAGAGATTGTCTGTGGGTGCGTACCTCCCCCTGCTGGCCAAAGGCAGTCACTGCAGGACAGACACTGAAGCCCATGGAGATGCAGGTCCACAGAGGACGGGCGGATGGCGGATAATCTGTGAGCATCTGATTTGTCACTGATTTCCAGCGTATCTGGGTCCTCACACGCGGCTGAATCTCATGGTTATTCTGTGTCTTAATATTTATCCGTAGTTACTTTTGTCTGGAATGCAGACGTGTTGAAATGAGCTTTATTGTTCAATAAGCTGGTCGGGTCACCGGTCGGGTGCCTGTGTGGCGCCTGACCCCGAACCGCCGCCGCCGGGGGCTCCGACCGCTTAGTTTCTTTATCATTGTTGTTTTTGCGTTTAAATCCTCTAGTATTTCCTTTGTATTCTGCACTTGATATGATAATGTGATACACTAAGATCCAAACATTCAAGGCCCAGCCACCAGGGCTGACTCCAGTTCAGACGGAGCAGCGTGAGGAGAGGTGGGAGAGCGAGGTAGAGCGAGTTAGAGGCGAGGTAGAGAAAGGCGACAAACGGCTCCATGTCACACACACTAAGGAGCTCGTCAGCATTTGTGCATGTTTACAGTTATCCAGACCCCATTTAACCTGATTTATTTAGCTGGGTTTTCAGTGTTGTCTGCATAATTCTGTTCTAAATCATGTCAAACCAGCAATATCTCAAACATTTGGAGATTGAATTTGCAGGTAAAATTGACAGACGACGGAAATAAAAGATAGTTTATCCTCTTTTGACTTGTTTTGTGAAAGTAATTGCAGATGATTTGATCTCATCACCTGATCTCATCAGCAAAAAGAGACAAAAACATGCATAGATCCTGGCGGGGGCCCTTTCTGTAGATGTGCTGAAGGTCCAGGTCCTCCCGTCTGGGTCAGCTCAGCGCTCGGTGGCCGTTTGTGAGTTTTTGACTTCCACCAAAGCGTGAATGAATAATCTGCCTGACGCCCGTTCATCAGGGCCTCATCGTACTCCCTCAGTGTCACTGCAGTATGAACCAGTACTTAAAGTAGAGTCCTTTATTTATTCTGTTCTCATAGTGTTTTGCAGATGTGATACTGATCATTTAGGTGTTGTATTATTTAAAGTACTAAATGTATTTACGTGTTATGGCTGGTGACCATACATACATCTCATATTAACATAGTTATTGCCAACGGGAAGTTTTCCCTCGTGTTTGTTGTTGCTTTTGTTGGATTCTGATTTCGTGTTGGGATTTCTCATGGTGGCCGGGAGAGCCCGAGTCTGAACCTGGTTGCTGCTGACGCCTTTGGGAGAAGTTGGCATTAACCCTGTAGCTCCTCCACAGAACAAACCCCCAGAAAAAAGCAGCTGAAGCCCAGCAGGAAGGCGTTCAGGCCTGCCTGGCTCAGAGGCAGCGGCAGCCTCTGGCTTCTCCTTCAGTTTTCTACTCAAAGGGATTCAGAAGCTGGTATTTTTTCATATCACTGTGCCAAGTTCCAGTTACAAGGAGGAGTCCGTTCAGGCTCGTTTTAGAGAAACACACTAATGGTTACATTTCGCGCACATGCTGACGGATTCAAGTTCAGCAAGTGGGTTTTGTGATCTTTGTAGGCGACGGTTAGGATCCGTCTCCTCAAACCAAAAGCAGATCGGCTCTGTGGGTGCGCGCGGCAGTATTAACAGTTCGAAACGCCTCGATATTCCAAAAAATATTTAATGTTCTTTAAGTCGAGACATGTATGCAGTTTTATATCTTTTATTTTTGTCTTAGATTCTGCAGTTTAGTCTGTTTATATCAATATGGGATGCCGAGACTGTTTTTTCTGTTGTTGTTTTGTTGTTGTTTGATCTTTTTAAATGCAGCTGCATCCATTCTGTAACAAAGCTGTTACCGCTTGACTGTGCTCCTTTTACTTTATTTAGTTTCATTCTATCAAAGAGCCGATGTCCTGTATTGACTGCAGGCTTGCGTATATATTTGAGAAAAGAATATTGTATGTTTAATAATAAAAAAGTTTTTAAAAAACGGCAAAAAAAGAAGAAAATCTAGAAAAAGAGCTGGAGGTAAATTGGGGAAAAAAAGCGTTATTTATATTTTAAAACTGCATGCACAAGACTGGGAAAGTCGCATTTAGAATAACAAATGGCAGTGCCTTTTTTATACTTGAGACATTGACCCCAAATGTAAAAATGTTTGTGTTTTTTTTCTTTTCTAAAAGGATTTTTAAAAAGGAAAACGTTGCAGGATGGGATTTTTCTCTCGTTCATCTGCGACCCCGATGCCTTCGTTTCTTTCTGGTGTGATCCATGCAGTTTCTTTTTCTTTTTTTTTTATGCAGAGAGAACTGATTATCTAGTTTTACTTACTTCCCAAATCATATGATGATGCTGGATTTGTGTCGGCATCCACAGAATGGATTGTTTTGTCCAAAAACGTTGTCCTCTGGAGTTTGTATGGAAAAAATATATATGAAATTAAAGGATCATTGAATTAGCTTGCATTGGCTTAAATGCGTCAGTCCATCCTCGACCTGCCGGAAGTGAAAACCATAACTCTTCATTTGTTTTCTGTTCTCTGAATTATACCGGATGCTTTATGCAAAGATCGATGTCTGCTCCACATTTCAGTGCTTCCTGCCTCACTCGTGTTTATTTGTCCCTAAAAGCACAATTATTGTTTTGGAGTTGTCCACAAAATGCTCTGAGGTAAAATGGGAAAACGCACTATATCACCACCAGGGGGCGACAAAGACGATCGTTGATTTTAAAAAGTATAAATAAAAAAAGCATTTTTCCAGATTATGAAATGGCCAAAAGAACAGAGTTTGCTCCAGAAAACCTCAGGGGAGAGACTAAATGCAGATAAATGACTCAGTCAGAATCCTCTGCAGCCCGATAGCCGCCTGGCTTTTAATGAACTGGACGTTTTCTTGGTGGTTTGCTGTCCTGTGAATAGTACCACCGTGTTGTTTGGAAGCCCCCCCCTGCTGCCTTCAGGGGCCCCAGGCCACATTATCCCCGTCCCCTGTGAGCCCCACTGTCTGTTTCCACTTTAAATCACCATTAACAAAGTTTGGAGCTCATATAATTTAGCTGAAAGTTATCAGAAGCACGAGAACAATCTAAAGCTCCTCAAAGGTGTTTTATTTTTGGTGGAACCAGAAGGTTCCTTAATTTGTGCTCATATCTTTATATCCCTCCATTTTGTGGTAAAATAGTGAACCTGAATAGAAAATGGGTAAAAAATGGTGGAAAACCATGAAGTTAAAAGGTTTCCTAAGAATTAATAAGAGGTTCTGATGGATTGTTTATCCTTTTAGGATAAACCGAGGAACGCTTTGTGTTCCCGACTCTTTAAAACCTGTGAGGGTTACTTCCCTGTGCAGTAACATGTCGCCACCACTGATTTGTACTGGACTTTCTTCTGGGCCAGCCTGAACCTGGGACCCTCAGCAGGAGCTCTTTCAAGCTGGGCCCCGTTTCATTCACAACACCCGTCCCACCAACCAGGAACCAGAACCAGATGTTTACAGTAGAAACAGGAAAATATCAACCTGTGGATTATCTGAGGATATTAGTACTGAATGCCCAATAACAAGCTACATTTACACACTATAGGACCAGTTTGATACAACACTCTTTCAGACAATACATATAATTAGGGGGTCCCCCTCCATCAGTTTGGGGTCCTTGGTCTGGAAAACCTTGAAGACCCCTGATCTAGAGGCTCTACCACCTGAATCTGAGTCATATCCCACCTGTGAACAGCTCAGATTCCCTCTGTTTGCATTTTGGTTTCCTTTTCACTTCCTTTCTCAGTTGACTCTGCCCCCCTGGGGCATCAGTGGTAAATAACCCCCCCACCACCACCACCACCACCAGTCTTTGCTGTCACATAGATTTATTATCTTTGATTAAAAAGTCTTTGAAATGAACACGGTACATAAAGTGACAATGATGCTGAAGGGGCGGCACAACAGGCCGTCCTCAGCAAGGCCACAGAAACAACACACACACACACACACACACACACACACACGCCTCCAAAAGTCAGACACGCTTCTGATGTTTTCAGATGCAAAGGTTTGTTACACGAGAAAACACAAAGTCACTGAACGACACACTTTGAGGAAACACACAGTAACATGTCGGGTTTTGGCCTCTGGTGGGAATCACATTTATTTTTGGTTTTACTCCAGAGGCGGGTTGGCACGAGAAGGCAGACCCTCACACAAGAAGAGGTTGGAAACGAAAGAAAGAAGAAAACTCTTCGTCTTTTTTTTTTTTTTTAAGATAAAATCCACAAATTATTCCGTCTAAACTGAGGTGTGACAGAGTGTTTAGCCGCCGCCCGGCACAGACGATCCCCCCTCAATCAAGACTAAAACCTGCCTCCAGGATGCTAATCAATGCTAATTTTTTTTGTCAAAAGTGTCCAAAATGCTGGTCCCGCCCAATGAAAGGAGTCAGCCGGGGTGGTTGGATATCTAGATATGAAGCCACCAGGTCTCCTCCCGTTGGAGGACCTCCTGGGAAAATCCCCCTCCCCTCTGAAACTTTCCCTTGATCCAATATGGCGGCTTTCAAGATGGCGGCCCTGCTCCATCCCCTTTCGTTTCTGAAGCAAAACGATCATCGATGACAAATAGATGTTTGTTTTTTTCATTGCGTCCCACCTTTTGTGACACTTGGTCTAAAGCAAAGCTCTGTTATGTCCTCTGGAAACCATGTCACGGCTTTTTTAATATTTTGTGTTTCGTTTTAGGCCCCAGAACCGCTCATGAACTAAGACACCGAACCTGAAGGGGGTTGAGTCTGCCCGGCCGGGGGAGGCTCCGAAATACTGAGGTAACTGACAATAAACACTCTGTCACCACCTTTTGTGGGATGGAAACACACACAAACACACACACACACACACACAGGTTGCACGGCATCCGCTCCGTACAGTTGGAGGTAACCCTAGGCAACAAGAAGAGGAGGAGGAGGAGGAGGAGGAGGAGCGTGGTCCTCCTCAGCTCCGGATGAGCGTCAGGAACTCGTCGCGGGTTTTTGGGTCTTCCCTGAAAACTCCCAACATGGTGCTGGTGACGGTTTTGCTGTTCATCTTCTGGACGCCCCGCATCACCATGCACATGTGACTGCAAGAAGGAGAGCAGGGGTCAGCCAGGAGAGGGGAGGGGGCGGAGCTTAAAACGAGGGGCCTTCAGGGTTGTTTCGGTTCGGTTTGTGAAGTCGATTCTTTTTATTTGGATGAATCAAACCCTGACCTGCTTGTTCGGTTACCTGGTGACTCCACATTAAGATTTAATTAAACTGAACTTTTCAGACACTGTTCAGCCCCACTCCATAGTGCATCCACCCATTGTCCAGATGTGGATGTGGGGCAGGGGCGGTGTCGCTGGAGCCCCTGGACAGGCGGGTCCATAAAAGGACCTCCTACAGGCGATTTGGAGTCTCCAGCTAACCAAACTTGCACGTTTTCAGGCCGTGGGAGGAAACCCAGAGAACCAGCGAACCAGTTAAAAAGGCCAGGATTCAAACCAGAAACTGCTTCTCTGATCTCAACACACCAACTTACAGACACAAAATCTGAAATCTGAGCCAGTTCTACTGATTCTGGTGTAAAAATGAGCAATAAACGGGTAAAATCTTTAACACTGGTTCGTAATATGATTACACATCAGTGGGCTTTTTTACATTTTGTTTACAAGCTCATAGTATGTGTTCTGTCAGGATTCTATTTTTTCTGGTCCATGATTTGTTATCTGCCTTTTGGTTAGATTAACCCATAAGAACCTAGATCCATTTTTCCTTAAAGTAACATTATAGTGACCAAATGGCCCCATAGATCAAAAGAGTGATTAAAAGAATCATGATCAGATACCACCTCCAAATATCGAATACAATGTCCTATAAGGTACATTGGCCTTTTTTAATACATGTATTTTATCTTAAATTGTTAATCATTTAGTTCGTTCCTGTCCTGAATTGGTTGTTTTGCTTCACAATCTCATCAGTGGTTTCCCGAGTTTCCCTCCAGTCTAACACAAAAACCAAGAGCTTTTAGCTGGAATATCTGGGATAATAAACCAGGTCTTGGAAGACACCAGTTAGACATTTAAGTTTTAAGATTTTCCAGGTCAGACTAAATTCATAAAGGTTATTCAAGACCTCCAATGTTCAGAAAGTCTCCCTCAAACCAGATGAAAAAAACCCTTGGCTGGGTATTCTTTTTTAGACAAGTTTAAGCTGTTTTCTATGAGTTTCATGGCTGCAGAATTTTATTAAAGCAGCTTAAAGTGGACTTAAAGTCAGTTTTTCCACAGCCGGGTCAAAGGTTAAAAGAAGGATGTGGCCATTAAAGGGGCTTTCTAACTTTTTGGTTTTGGTTTGAGGTGGATTTGGGAAGAAAATGGCCACCGCTCTGGGTTGGGACAGACAGGAGAGAGAGAGTAGGAGGGAGCAGGTGTGTGACGCACGTGGCCTCGATGACGACGCCGACCCCGGTGGGGTGCAGGGCTTCAGTGATTGCCACAGCGATCTGTTTGGTCAACCTCTCCTGAACTGTGGACGCATCAGACGGACAGACGGGTGAGCTCAGACAGAACAAACAACACAGCAAATACACCAGAACCACTCCGTAAAATAAACCCCATCATCAAACTCCTGCTTCTGTTTCCAGCTCCTGTGAATCCCGTTTATTAAATCAATCCTAAATCTATTTTAGACGTCGGCCTATAGTCCCAAAAAGAGCCGTCCTTTGTTTTAGAGAGTTTAACCTGAGTACGTGCTTCTATTTAAACTAAACTGTGAGAAATTTAAAGAAGAAGTGTCTTACTGCACCTGTAATTTCTATACTCACTCCTCCAACAAAGCGTCAGATTAAATAGATAACTCATAAAATGCACAGAAATTTTAAAAAAAGAATTCAAAGTGGGACAAAATCGGAAAATGAGTCGTTAGAATTTTCACCTTGTAGTCGACGGCTGTAGATTTCAACGATCCTGAAGAGGAAAAAGAAAAGAGAAAATCTGAAATAATGCTGCAGTGAACTAAGAACAAATAAAGAAATTAAACAGAAAATTTTTTTTTTTCTACTTTCATTTACTTCAGATAACCAAAAGAATTCAGATTGAACCTTTCTCTGAATAAATATATTATAACAAGACCAACAACATAACGTATAATGAACATAGAATTTAATTTACAGACATAAGATGAGTAAGGTCAGAGTTTAAAAGTGGTTTTAAACTTACATTTTTTCTATGGCTGTTCAGGTAGAGGGTAAAAAAACGGTTCCTTCATTTACCAGGATGACTAAATATAGATTTTTCCTGCACGAGAGGCAACACTAAAGCCTAAAGGGAGCCGTTGTTAAGAGGAGCTGAACCAAAGGCCTGTTCTGTTCCTAAATGCTAGTCTCTGTCACATCTGCTAAACCGGCTGGACGCCACCAGCCACCAGCCCTCTGGCCACCCAATTCTGCCTTTTCAGCAGATGTCCACCTTTAACCTGTCGCTCTGCCCGGAGCGCAGAGGCACCCCGGAAATGTCAGCAGAGCAAAGAGGCAGCAGCATCAGCCAGTGGCTTTAACTCCCAGATCTACCTGCCCGTAACATGAAAAGCTCAAAATGAACTTGAAGGAAAAAAATGTAAATCCTAAGAAATACACACAAAAAAAAGGATTTACTGAGAAAAAAACTAAATTGAGGATGAGAAGAAACACAAGAGGATATACGGATGAGTGAATGAAGACCAGGGGAGGGTATTGATGGATGGAAAATTACTGGGGGGGCGTAACCAGGAGGACAAAGATAAAGGAGAAAAGACCCTATTATGAAACAGGAAAAGTAGAACTAAGGCAAAGAAAACCAGAAAACTCAAGAATAAAACAATAGGCCCAGACTGCTGGGGGCGGGCTCCCATGGGCCCCTCTTTCCTGTCCTCTCAGTCCCCCAGCCGGGCCACAAAGATGGCCGCCCTTCCTGGTTCTGGTTCAGAGGAAGTTTTTCCTCCCACAGTCACCTCGTGCACGCTCAGGATTTGGAACAGAGAGATTTGATCCGGTAGTTTCAGTAAACTTTTGCTGAAACTTGGTGGGGTTTAATCTTTTTTCAGTCTGCATTTATCTTTATCTACAACTAACTTTTCTCTTTTAAAGGGGTCTGAACTGATTGGACATTTGTTTTCTGCTCAGTAGCAGATAGCTGTTGAGTTTTTTTGTTAATTTTCAGACATTACTTTACAACACGGGGACTTTTTGGACTGTTCCTGTCTGGGTGGGTTTGTGGAAAGAGACCAGCTCTCTCTGTTTGGGACTATTAGGTGAATGATTTAGCTGTGTTGAGGTGTTTATATCCAGCCCTGTCAGTAAGCAGTGTTAGGCAGTAAGCCTGGGGGTATTGGGGTCAGCGGGATCAGATTTATAGTAGTACACACAGGTTTTATTAATCGGCTTAGGCAGAAACACACACACACACACACAGGAACTCACCTGGCCAGCTTGCTGAGGCCCAGGACTCTCTTGTTCGGGAGGTAACCGATGTGAACCTGAACACAGGGAAAAAAACAGCTTGAGAACGTCCCCCCAGCTCAAACCGAGCACGAGGCGGGAAGAGAGCGAGCTGGTGGAGGGGTGGGGGCACCTTGAGCCATTTTCCAGTCTTTCTCCGATTAAATAAAGGTGGTTGTGCCTGTTGTGGGAGCTGAAGTGTAGGAAATTTCCGGTCGAGGGGGAGTAAGTGGAGTTCAGAGCTTTGGGGGACTGCTTCGGGTAACTGGGGCTGACGTTATGGATTCAGACAGTCTGGCCTGAGAGCATTTGATCCAGGATTTGATCGTTTCAGCGAGCTGATGGAAGATGGTTCCTTTCCCCAAAAAATGACACAAGGAACCCCAAATGGGCTCTTTAACGTACTTTTCTGACACTCAGTGACTATTTGACAAGCTTTATCCCTGTTTTTTCTAAATTTCTAGCACTTTTTTTTGCATTCAGTACAGTTTTGGGTTCAGTGTTTCATTTTGAACCTGCTGGCTTTAATAACAACCACTGATAAAACAGCCAGCCTGTCAGATTAGTGGACTTTGTATTCTGTGTGCACAGAAGAAACAACACATGTACTTTCAAAAGGGAAATGTCCCCTTTAATTAGTCTGTAGCTGTTTTGTGGTTACAGAGTTCTAACAATTCAATTCAATACAAATATATATTTTTTTTTTTATCCAAGGGGGAAATTAAATGTTGGAGTTATAGTTAAGGAGTTATAAATTTAGTTTTATATTCTGAATAAAAAAATAATTACAAATACGGTGGTTTTCTTTCTTTATGGATAATTCCCAGTATATAAGCCGGTAATAACACCGTACTCTGAGCAAAGTCTATTTCTGCCCATTTCCATTCAAAAAGAATTTGGATGTGGAGTTTTTCTGAGCTGGAAATGGATGTCGTTTTCCCTTTAGTTTCCCTCATAGTTGCAGGAGACTTTTGACCCAGCCTGTGCATCATAAGTCCAAAAGCTGGTGATCCGCGTTTCTTTGGAAACTTTTTTTTTTGGTGAATTTTCCCAAAAGCAAAAAAAACTCAAAAAGGATCTCAAAAAACGAGGCGAGAACAGATCAGGTGGACGAGACGAAAAGAGGGAAAGATGGAGTCATCAGCTGGAGACTGCAGTGGATGGCTGGAGGAACCAACACACACACACACACACACACACACCAGTGCGCTCCACTCAAATGTCAAACACAATTTGTTGACTACTGGAGGAAAAAGGGCAGCAGCAACAAGCGTGCAAAGATCCGTCCTCCTCTCTGTCTTCTGCTTTTTTCTCACTCTGCTGCAGAGGTCTGATACCCCCACATCAAACCAGCCCAAGGGGGGGGGGGACACCGGGGGCTGTTTTAGGCCACTTTCCCATCACTTTTATCTGTTTTCTTCCCACTGCTTATCGCCCGTGCTTTGGGGGGGTGATTAACGAGGCCGGTGATGAAGGAGGCGTGTTTAACTCGTGTTTCAGAACGTTAAAGCTCACAGTGTGTCAGGCTGTGGCCATTCTGCGGCACAAAAATGGAAATCTATGTAGTTTAACACATGTCAAAAGCATTTATTGAAACCCTATTCAAGAGAAACTGAACATAGCCACGTTTAAAACACCTAAAAGAGATGAGAGTGGAAACATCCATCCATTCTCTGTGTCCATCAGGCTGAGCTCTGGACTCTGATGGAGCTTCAGCTCCTCGATTCTCCTCTTCTTTAGACTTCCTGCTGCTGGGTTTGGGTCTTTCTTCTATTGGGGGGCCACCAAATGTGACCTTTGACCTGCTAACTGAGGCCTGTAGAGTCTGAGCTGCTGCTCTGGGCTTTTTGACCTCGCTGGACGTCTCCTCCTGGGCAGATTGACCGCTGTCTGGGACGTAATTCATCCTTCTCTCGGCAGAAAGAAATGGCCTCAGCTCCTCTCAGATTGTGCTGATGTCTTTCCTCCTCTGCGTTGTGTTAACACGCACCCTCCTAATACGTATGCTAGCACTGAGGGTGGACTTGTTGTTTATCTGAGTCATTTTCTGGAATCTGGTGAAGACCAGCTCCTTTGTCGTGACGCGGGACATGAACGCTTAAAGTTCAGGTCGAGCTTTTTCTCTCTTTCTCTTAAACTGAACCTCAATTGTGCGCTTTAAGACCCCCCCGACCGACCCGTTTCAGCACAAAACGAAGCAGGGGGGCGGAATACGTGATCAACCGATGTGTGATTCTGAGCGTTTTCTCCAAACGGAAGCAGCCTCTCAGGTAACTGATGAGGAAATGACAGATTTTCAAGCGCCTGCGAGGGAAGACGGGAGGGGGGGGCGGGGGGGGGGGGCGGTCAGGCTTTAGTGGAGAGTAATGATGTGAAGGGAGCAGAGAGAGCTGGCTCCAGATAAACAGATCTCGGCTAATCCGATTGTTTCTCATGTTCCCTCCCGACAAACGCAGAGAAATGGCTCTTCAGATTCGCATCTGCTCGCATGTTTCTGGGCTGGTAACCAGATTTTCAGGGTCGAATTTAAAGAAGCGTCTATATATAGCAAACCGAGCTGCGAGGAAGCGATGTTTCCATTTAGAAAATCCTCTCTGAAGGGCAACAGGTTTTGTCTGCTCCTCCCAGTGTGGAAACCCACAAAACTGTAGAGGAAATTTAAGCCGAACGTGTGAAAAAAGGAGTCAATTTTACTGTTTTTACTCTGTTTCGTGTGTCTGGGAGTGTATGTGTATGTGTGGATGGGGGAGGGGAATTGTTTAATGGGATCTTTCTACCTTTCCCTGCCTTTACCTGTTCCGGTCGAGGCTGTTTGTCGTCACAAGTGGGGGCAAAAAAGTGAACCAAACAAGATGGAGGCAATGACGGCTGGTCTGAAAAGGGCTTTTTCTTTTCTTAGGAGTGGCTTTCAGGACTCATCCAGCGGCCTGTAAACATCATATTTTCAACTTCCAGCTGAGCAGGAGCTAAAATCTTAACTGGTACCAGATGCTACCTCCTCATTTAAGTGTAAAAAAACGAGCGGAGTCATGGCCGAAGAGGTTCTGGTGGAAAAGGAGCACAAGGGCTGGGTGGGAAGTCTGGAAGAAGAGCCTGAGCAGGGCTTTCTTCACGAGGCGTTCAGGGGTCCCTGAAACGCTGACCGGCCGGCCTCCTGTCCGGTCCTGCTGCCTGGCCCACATCTCCTCTCTGAAGGGTTTAGAGGCAGACCTTTGAGCCGGGTCCTGAGCCTGAAGCAGAGCTTCTGGTGGCTACTCTTCAGGATGGAGGGTCCGGTTTCACCCACCAGCCAATCAGCTCCTCCATGGAGCGTTTTCTACTGGATTTACGTCAAACCTGCCCTCTCCTAAGAAGCTAAAACAAAACAAAACACGCAGGTTTGTGTGGCCGCGTTTGTGCGTTCGTGCTCCCCTCACCCTGCCGAAGATGGGCACCAGGTGGTGCTCACACATGGAGAACATGTCGATGTCTTTGACGATCACCATCTCGTCGTGGTCCTCGTCGAAGATGGCGTCGTTCAGCACGTCTGCGGGGGGAAAAACAGGCGGTCAGACGCCACCGGACACACCCACCCAAGAGTCTGTGTGCTTATCCAACCCCAGACGCTAGCTTTTCTATAGTTTTTGTCTTCTGAGAGTGTGTTTACGCAGGAGGAGGACAGACAGACGGAAACCATCCTCACCTCCCCGCTCTTTATCGTGCGTTTCTGTCTAATTATAGCTCGGCTCCCACCTCCACGCCGCCGCCTTATTGCTTTTTTTTCCCGATTGCCGGGGTTCAATAAAGCGCTTTATCTGTTTGTGGCGACGCAGGCGGCTCTCGCTCTCATCGCAGCTCTTTTTAATTTCCTGGCCGGCTATCTGTGGGAGGCCCGGGGGGTGGGGGGTGGGGGGGGGGGATGGAGGTCACACAAACAGAGCAGGCCGACTTGTTGCTGCTGTGTTTTGCAGCCTGCTTTCTAACCGTGTTTAAACAGGCCAGAGGGCAGTCTGTGTTTGACAGTAAACAAAGAGATTTCCACTTTTCTTTGTCAGAAAGCAGCTTGCATGATGCACATTTCCCCCAAAGACATCCTCCGTGCAGCTTTTACTCCGTAGACTCGTCGGTTTTATCATTACAGGAAAACCAGACAGGTTAAAGATTGCATGTTTAATTGGATTCACTCCGACAGATTGCAGCTTAATGTGTTGGAACTAGCTCTTGTAAACGGGGGGTTGTCCCTCAATAATCGAATCAAATCAAGCATCTGTAGCTCAGAGCGGAGGGCAGTCTGTGGATCTGTGTTAGAATCTTAACTTCTCATTCAGAGAGGTTAAAGATACAGTAGTTTAAGTAGTTTTCTTTGTCAGAGGTTTGACGTCCGCCTCTCCCGCCTGTCCTGCTGGGGGGGGGCTCCCATCATGCACCTGTCCTCCCTGTCTCTCAACAGGTGTCCGGGTCCCGGTCAGCCCCTCTTTCCTGTCCTATCAGCCCCAAGCCAGGCCACAAAGATGGCCGCCCCTCCTGGTTCTGGTTCTGATGGAGGCTTCCTCCAGTTCAGAGGAAGTTTTTTCTTCCTACAGTCGCCTAGTGCACGCTCAGGATGGTAAATCGATCGAGTTTTCTTGTCTTGGAAACTTTTTAAAATGAAATTAACTTGAATTTATCTGATTCTGATTATATTACAATGAACTGGAATGTTTCAAAAGTCCTTAGAGATGACATTTTATAAATAAAATAAAATTGAACTGAACTTTTCAGCCTACTAAGTCAGGAAAAGATGTCCGGGGTGAAGTTTCCCTCCAGGATAACAAAGCAGGAATCCAGTTTTTAGATCAGACTGAAAGCTCAAACAGAGCTTTGTGTCTGCTTATGAGATTGTTATCGCTGCGGTAATAAAGCAGGAGGCAGAGTGGGCTGCAGGAATCTGACAGAAACAATAACATTTTCCAGCCTGAAGATTAAAAAAGCAGATCTTAAAAGTTCTTCAAAGCAAACTCAAACTTGACAGAATTAAACTACTACTGACAAAGTGTTGATAAATCTAAAAATATGTCCTTTCTTAGGCAAGTTTGGCATTTTTACTATGTTAACTTGCTTAAAATCCACCCCAAAAAATTTTGAACACTTTTAATACAATTTTGGCTTTGGAAAAGTCTCCAAATATCCTCAATTAGCTCAGGTGGGAGCAGAATCTTTCTGGCCGACATGAATAATGAACCCAAACATAAAGAGATTACAACCAGCAGAATGATCCTTTACATTTCCGTAATTTTCTGCCACCCTTTCCATCCTGTCCAGGCAGCCTCTTAAACCCTGAGAGGAAAAACGAGGCTGAATCAACGTCAATTAGACAAAAGAAACGAGCATGGCGGTGCAGCGGCCAAAACGAGGAGGCTGTTAACACCTCCTGAATGGAGCCGGAAACTCAGAGGTGAACGACAAACAGAACTCTTAATGATGGACCGGGGTCCTACGAAGCCTTTAAGGCCAACAGGGATGCATCCGGTTAATTTTGAATTGGTTTTAGAGCCGCACGGGCTTAAACATTTCCACATGAGGAACCGGCAGAAGGTTTTTGGAACGGGTGGAAATACTGACATTTACATTATGCATTTCATCCTGTTTAGCATCTGGAAGGGGCTAATTGTCTATTAGCTTATAAGAAAAAGAACAATCACAATTCCCCGAATCAACAAGGAAAACTACTGAAATAGATCTAGATAAATCAAACAGAATAAAACGATGTCCAAATTCAGGATTCAGTGATGCTTGATGTGATCTCTGTGGATGCTGCTGCTGTCCTTTTTATCCTGCTCTCTGAAGAATAAATGGATATTGTGTGGTTAGATTAGCATAAAACAGAAGTTAAATCACTAACCAATGCCATATTTTCCCCAAAATACCACAAATATATTTATTCCAGAAATTCCTGAAAACAGGTGAGCTAAGGTTTGCTTTAGCATTTGGCAGAGCAGGCTAAAGGCTAATGTTTCCATCCACTTCAATTCATTATGCTAAGCTAGCGTGCTATGCTAACTATACAAGTTAGTTCCAACTGAATTTCAACATTTGTAATTTAAATGCAGCACGCTGCAAACAAAGTTTTACTGCTTTATAAAACAAACAGTAGGTCAGTTTATTTTTTTGTTAAAAAAAAAACTAGTGGTAAAGTGATGGTGGTAAAGATTAGTAAAGCTAATAGTAAAGATTTTGATAACCATTGCTAACAAGATGCTAACAAGATGATTGACAGCTCTGGTCGGGGGGCCCCAAGGCTTTACAGATTTTAAAAAAGAGGATATTTGGCAAAGACAGCTGTAAAAAACTGATGTAACGCTCATTTTACCTTCAAATATTATTAAGTTTCACACCATCTTGACCATAAAATTAAGGTTTTGGTTTTATACAATTATATTTATACTAAATTTGTTTTCTCAGCATGTTTGCAGTTAAATTTTTAAGCCAAATGACGTCATTAATAGATTCCAGCCTTAAAAAAAACCCAGATTTTATGGTTTTCTTGTTTAGTCAAACTTCAGTTAATCGTTTTCTTACTTTTTTTCCACACAATTCAAACTGAACGGAGCATTTAGAGGAATTATTTAGCCCTCTTTCTTTGCTAACAAAAACAGAGTCACAGATGTGATAATGGTCACATCACCTGCTAAACCAGTTCACACTGAAACATCTGGATAAAGGAAAAGCATCTGTAAGCATCCACAAAACCCGTCCTCTCCACAGCCAGCGGTCAGGTTGTGATGAAAGCTGAACCCGTGAGCTCGTGGAGGGGGGGTGGGGGGGGGGGGGGGGGGCTCGGCTTCCCACAAAAGGCCTCCCGGCCTCACACATGTTTTCGGTTGTCCTCCGCTTCCCATGAGCTGAAGGGGAGGCGACCGGAGCGGCCAATCGGCAGGCGGATGGAGCACCACCTCGGCCTCATTATGACGGCTCACGTGCACGCCGGCAGCGCACGGCCCGGAGCCCAGAGGAGCCCAGAGGAGCCCAGAGGAGCTCCGGGCTCACGCAGGTAGGAGCCAGCTCCTCCTCCGGTGCCTCCATGTTTCCCCCCGCATTCCTCTGTTTACAGCCTCCCAACAGAACAACCCCCCCATGAGACCAAACCAGCTCCAGATGGAGCTCTGGGGGGGCCGCTCCCCGACTCCAGCCACTCCGGTGAGCTTTAAGGGGGGGAGCCGCCCCACGGACCTGGACCCCAGGAGCTTTAAACTCCAGGACCCCCGCTAAGCAAAAGCTTCTCTCAATGAGCCCCAGATCTGAGATGAAACCACAAAGCCCCGGCAAAGCCTGAAAATCCACCCCAACCTGCAGCCAAAAGCAGGAACAAACTTTTGACCATCAGAGGTTTCCCCCAGCCACAGATCAAACCCTCCCACATTATAAATGAGGCATTTTTTCTACAAAGACAGCTCAAATCAGCCAAATGCAGATTCTAACGGGGCAGTAAACAGGTGGGAAACAATAGAATATCCTTCAATATCCAGCATTTACCTCCTATTCCCGTCCCCCTTATACCTGCACGTGGGTTTTGGAGGACCGGGTCCAGGACTCCACTGGGAGCCGGTCATTTTTATTCACAAACCAAATCAAATGGAAATGAAAGGCTGTTCAGACACTTTGAGCCACTCGTTTGATGGAGGAAAGGTCCCCCCGGAGAGCCGGAGATCAGGTCCACGGCACCAGACCTGTTGCTCAACTGTTTGAATTGGGGCAGGAGGCCCTCCCCAGGGAGCGGGGAGTCTGGTTTTACTGGCGTTTTCAGAGGGGAATCAGACTGAATCAGTCCTGGATTTAAGACTGAGAACGCCCCTCCCCGGTTTTCAGTTCGGTTATTAAACCCTCACTACACTTTACCTGCAGCTGCTGGGCTTCAGGAGGGATGGAGAGTGGTCAGAAAGACGACAATTTCCCTCCAACAGAAACTTAACATAACTTTGGGCAGCGGGACCTGTTGATGCGCGGGAGGGAGGGAGGAGGGCAGCCCCTAAAGGCGCATCTGCCTGATCGGCTGGACCTGGGGGGGTCGTGGAGGTGTTCACCCCCCCCTGGCCGCCCCTGAGACTGAGACTCACCGGTGATCTTCTCCTGGTAGCCCTTGGTGAAGAACTGCATGGCGGTGGCGGCCCTCCAGGGCGTCTTGAGCAGCCCCTGCCGCTGCGGGTCCTCCCCCAGCCCGCGCAGGATGCTCCCGTAGGCGGCGGCCAGCCCGGGCAGGCTCAGCTCGTTGTCCTCCACGCTGCGCGTGCGCTCCTCCCTCCAGCCGTCCGCCGGCTCCGCGCGGGGCTCCTCCGCGCGCCGGCCCGTGCCGTCGGGGCGCCCGTTGCGCGCGCGGCCGCCGTCCTGGTCAGGCTCCATGGCCGCTGGCTGCTGGGCGTGTGTCGGGTCGGTGTGTCCAGCTGCCGCTGACCCCCCACCCCCCCCCACGGCCCCGGCAGCCCCGGCTTTATAGCGGCGGGGTAATCCGGGGCGCGCGCCTACTGGCTGCCGGGGCCGCGGGGGCGGGCACGCCTCCCTTTGACTCACGCGCGTGGTTGGAGCCGTCAGATGGAGCGCGTTCAGGATGCGCAAATCCTGAGAGAGCCAGAGACCGCGGAGCAGGAAATGTGGAATCAGATTCATTCTGAGAAAATCCGAGAAGAAAATCTCTGTTTCTGTGATTTTCATTAGAAAACTTCAGTTTCTGGCATCGGGTCAACCTGCCACTTTTCTAAGAAGGTTTAAAGCGCTTTTTTCTGGTTGATTTGAGAAAGTCGGGGACTAATCTGAGCATGCGCGTGCACGCCTGCTGCCACTGAAAGTTGTTTTTTTTCCCAAATCTGAAACAGCAAAACATTCACCCAACAAACATTATTCAGGCAAGAGGCTCTAAACCAACAGCAGAGAGAAAAACTGCCTCCTGAGCTCTGTTTTCTAATTCAGTTTTACTGGAATATTCATTTATATGTTATAAAAGTATTTATAGTTCTTATAAAGGCAAATGCAGAAGTTTAAGTGCTTCTGATCAAACTGATTGGATGTGTTGCTCATCATAAAGGACCTGAGCAGAACCCAAACGGCTTCCAGCAGCTGGCAGCACGGCGGGGGAGGGATGATGATTGGGGAAGCCTCCGCAGCTCCAACCAGCTGCTGGATGGTTTTGGACTCACGGTTTCAGCTTCATTTTCTGTCAAATAAATTGCGTGACGTGTTCATCTCACGTTCATCTCTTGTTTTTTACCAGACGTTTAACACAACCATCCTGATACCCCCAAAAAATAAGATTAACGAGCCTTTTCCCTCTGTGACCTAAAACCAAACACAGGCCAAGCCAAAAGTCAACTCAGGTCTATTTCACTAAAGGGAAAAGACTCATCCCTCTTTTTCTGTTTCATCTGAAAAACAGAAAATTAAAAAAGCTCCCAGTTTAATGATGAAACGGGACCAAAACGTGGATAAAATCAGTTCTATTTATTAAACAGTTGGATACAAAAGCGTAGTCCCTATAAAAACCTGAACAGCCTCCGGGTTCAGCTCTGAAAGGCGAACGCCGACAGCCTGGACGAGGCGTCCGCCGCCTTCTTCTTCTCCGGGCTTTTTCCGGCAGCTTCCGCCGCCTCTCCCTCGGCCCGTTTCCTCTTCTTCACATCCTCCTCTCTGCCCGGGCGCTTGGCTCTGTCCGTCCAGGCCTGGAGGGGGGGGGGGGGGGGGTTTGAGGGAAGGGGGGGGGCTACAGGCTGACTAACAGCACGCGCAGACCCTCCAGCACGCGCCTCAAATTGCATCCTGTCAGCTCTAATCGCCATCGACAGGCTGCGTCTCCTCCTGCCCCCCCCCCCCCCCCCCCCCCCCTCCTCCTCTTTCTCTGTGAGCGGAGACAAAAGCAGCGTAATGGAGCTGGGATGAATCATCAGGGCGGGCGGCCGGAAAATTCACATTTCAGCTTAAATCTTAACGTCTGAAATCCAGTTGGAACTTCTTTCAAATTGAACGCATTTCTGGAAGCTGAAACATGTTAGTGTCCGAGTCGTTTCCCTTTTTTTTCTGTCTGACTTTAGCTTTTTAAGCCCAAACGTTTAATAGATCTGAACAAAAGTTGAATTAAATGAGAGAATCTTGTTTTCCTATCAGGTAAAAGAAGTCTGAACTACATTCTGTGTTCTCCGATTTAAAAGCTTAACCTTTTTTTCCCTCGTTTGTTTTTTAGCTTAGTTTTAAACCAATGAAATCCCTTTACAGCCCTGGCCCCGCCCACTGAGGTACAACTGACCAATTGAAATATTCTGCTGGACAGACTCGGACAGGAAGTGGACAGGAGCCCCCCCAGAAAAACCTGGAACCAGGAGCCAAAATCCCCCAAAAGGATTCTGTGCTTCTGCTCGTGGGGGGTTTGGGTCAAAGGTCACAGGACACTGTTTTGTATCAGAAACTAAAGGAAAAGGCCGCCATGTTTAAAGCCGCCATCTTGGATGCAGGGCGACCTTTTCCAGTGGAAGGGGCCGAGTAGCAGCTCAGAGAAGAGCAGAAACATCCCAGAAATCGATGGCAAAATCAGATTTTCAATATCTCTTTCCGTTCGGGGGTGGTGCTGGTGGGGGGGGGATTAGAGGAAAAATTAGAAGAAAAAAAAAGGGCCAATCAGGAGTCAAATGCAGCCCTTTGGCTCTAGTAAAAAAAAAAAGATGCACTTATTAAATGAGATTTATGTTGAATGGATTTATGTTACAGGTATGAGTCAAATAAGGGGGGGGGGTCTATTCTGTGGTCCATGAAGAAAATCAATGAGGAGGCATCACAGTGGGGGGGGGATTCGACTCATATTGTCACCATAAATGATCAGCACTGAGCAGGAATCCTTTCTAAAGGCCTCCATCGGTCTGGGTGGGTCCCCCAAATAAAAACCCCTCCTGGTGTTTTAGGCAGTTTCTATTCAGACGATAGAAAAAGCTTTTCTTGGCTCTGTTCTCAGCTCCTCTGAGGGAGGAGGCGCCTGAGTGGCCACATCAGCGTCACTCCGGGTATCATCACCATGAGATCAAAGCGCCACCTAAACACTCTGGATGCAGGTTTCCAGGCAACAGCCCCCCCCCCCCCCACTTCCCCTTTTCTGGTCATTGTCGTCCCTCTTCCCGCTGAGAGCCCTGATGTATGCAGGGTCAGGAGCAGTGGATGAGAGCCGGAGGTGTGTCGTTACCCACAGCTGCCTCCTCCAGCCCCGACCCCCCCGCCCAATATCACCAGAAATTAAAGGTTTACAGATATTGAAGGCTGCGAGGAGGCCGAAGGGTTGCTGGTTTGAATGCCGGCTGCTGGTGGCCAGATTTCAGGTCTCTACATTCACAGTCTGGTTTAAGCCCAAGACAACAGGAGAAAAGGGGATAAACACAAAGAAACTGCAAAGATTTGAGTTTTCCCAAAAAACAGGGACCAAAAAGGACGTGTTAACCACTTTTCACAAGTAAGAACTGAAAGGAAGCAAAAGCAGAGCAGCCAGAGATCAACAGAAAGAGAGTCAGACAACCTGAAACCAGCCCCAATTCTGACAAAAAGACACACAGAGTTCAGACATCTTAGCAGGACTCCAAATACGGGGGCCCGAAAGGGACAATTAAGAATTAAATAAACAAAACACCTGAGGCCAAAAATAATGCCCCCCCCCCAAAAAAAATAGGCCAAAATACAACAAACTTTAAAAAATTTGACTAATTCGTTTAAAATAAGTTCTAATTTTATGTTTCTAATTTAATTTTTTTTTCTAAATTTAATCATATATCTGTTTGAAATATCCCACATCTTTTATTCATTTCCAAAACATTATCTTAGTTTTTTCTGTAACCATTAATGTGCTTTTCTGTCTTTTTTGTGTCCTAAAATGTATGCAAACTTTGATTCTTGGCTTAATTTACACAGCTTATATTTAGATGGATGATTTTCTTTCTATTAGGGGGATTTATGTTAACCCCCCCCCTCTGTGTCTGTGCTCAGGCCAAAGACACCTGGACACTGGACCAATCAGATGGTCGTACCAGCCTCTCCTCGGCGGTCAGCGTCCGGAAGCGCGACATGGCCTCTTTGATGACCTCCGTCTCCTCCAGGTCGGGTGAGTCGGCCATGATGTTCTTCCTGTTCTCCTCCAGCCACAGCTGGAAGCCCGTCTTTGGCCTGGAGCAGGAAAAGAAACATCTGGAGCAGACGCTCAGAGCTTACACACACACACACTCACATAGACACACTCAGGCAGCTGGACCTCTTCTTCTTGGACTTTGAATAAGCTTCTCTTATCCTAAAGGCTTCTTCAGGTTTTTGGTTAAAACTGAAGCCTTTCAGATGAGGCGAGAAACATTTTCAAGATCCAAGAAGAAGTAGTAGTGGTAGTAGTAGTAGTAGCAGTGGCAGTAGTAGTAGTATCAGAATCACAATCAGAAATACTTTAATAATCCCAGGGGGAAATTATTTTTGTTACAGGCTCCATAAGCAAAGCAAAGGCATATACATAT